CCAATACTGACACACAATATGCTGGTTGAGAGCCTTGGTATTTTGCAAGGAGGCCATAAACGCCCAGCAATCTTTGGCTGCGACATTATATTCCCCTTTGATGATTACAAAATAGAGCCCGCTTCTGTACCAGAATGTACCACGGACAGCTAAGGTGAAATGGGGTTTAACTTCGTGTTCCAGGTTATTGCTCTTTGTTTGTTTGTTTGCTTGTTTTTTAACGCCGCACTCAGCAATATTCCAGCTATATGACGGCGGTCTGTAAATAATCGAGTCTGGACCAGACAATCCAGTGATTGACAGCATTAGCATCGATCATCGCAATTGGGATACGATGACATGTATCAACCAAGTCAGCGAGCCTGACCACCCGATCCCGGTAGTCGCCTTTTACGACAAGCATAGTCACCTTTTACGGCAAGCATGGGTTGCTGAAGACCTGGTCTACCCCGGAATCTTCACGGGTCTTATTGCTCTTAAATGGCGCTGTGCAAGTACGCGTTTTCGTGTTTGTCCATGCCTGGAGCACTGCCTGTTTGATAATGCCAGCCCCACTCAGATACCATGCGCAGTTGAACATGGATACCCCACTCAGATACAGTATACTGACTCCGAGCCGACCAGTCTTTGCGTTATCCGCTTAATGCCAAGCATCCGGTAGGGTAACAACAAGTGTCATCTTTTAACGTCTTGTGGCATGATGCGGCTAGGAGATCCAACCCCATCGACCTTTTTGTGATCTGGGCAGACGCTCTATCCATTAGACCACGGGGGCGTTCTTTCTTACATCAGTACCCCGTGGGGATTCCGAGGGCGACATGAGATCCAGTAACCTAAGCTTGACACCAGAGTCTGCTAAAATAGATAGGGATGAGGCTCGGTGACCTTGATTGCGAAACATCGTGAACCAATGCTGTGGATCATAGCTTATGCTTTCGGTAAATGATGTCACTCACTGGATTACTACTGTGGTAGGCGACCATCAATGGTCACGACCCACGTTGACTTCAAGGCAAATGCTGTCAAGATTCTTGATCGCTCAATTTCCCTGGTGTAAGTTAAGCTGCTTCTTTCACGAAAAACACTTGATTAAAGAAGGGAATGTATTGTAGTTGGGTTGTCTGGTCCAGACTCATTATTTACAGGACCCGTGAAGATCCGGGGTAGAATAGGTCTTCAGCAACCCACGCTTGCCGTAAAAATCGACTATGCTTGTCGCAAGAGGCGACTTAAGGCATCGGGTGGTCGGGCTCGCTGACTTGGCTGATGCGTGTCATCGTATCCCAATTGCTTAGATCGATGTGCATGATGTCACTCACTGGATTGTCTGGTCGAGACTCGATTATTTACAGACTGTCATATAGCTGGAATTGTGCTGAGTGCGGCATTAAACAACAAACAAGCAAACAATTGTTTACAGGCCGCCTGGAATTCCCCCTGAAACGGCGTCAAACAACATTCACTTCACTCTCTCACTTTCATATCAATAACATCTCAATTCGTGACAAAGACGGTACCTTTTTTTAGGAGCTTGCAATGATTCGTAAAGTGAGAAGTCACTCAACTTTCTGGAAGTATATACCGTGGCTGGTCAAGTGTAAGGAGAAGCTTCATAAATAAATTATATAACTTTGACTTTATTGCCAATGCTCGGCTGTCAGTTTATGGTGTTCTGATGAGTCCACTGTTAACAGTGTCCGAGAACATGGCAATGTTGTGACGCCGTCTCACAAGTTGAATTATTTATTTTTACGCCCGCTGTGCTATTTCAGTTATGTTCAACAGACCTTTACCAATTTGGTAAAACATACGAGTACCTGTATAAAATAGATGAATGCAGGTTCCACATCAGGATTTGGGATACCCCGAACAATGTACAGTAATTGTTGCCGATTGTCAGCCGTGGTCGCATCCAAAGAAACACCCCCGAATAACCCGACCCCTTTCCCACGTAACCCCACGGCCACAACGGGATCTGGAGTCGGAGTTATGTTGAGTTATTCTGATTAATGAGAGTGCCCGACCGTCTGTATCAGCTAGCATCCCATATGTTGTTTCCAGATAACCGTTATTTCAGTGTCTGTTAGGCAGGTGCCACGCAAGCGAAGAAACACATTATAAACAAGAAAATGTTTGAGACAGGTTTTCTTAATTGTTACTAAAACCGATATGACCTAATTCCACTTAGCGTCGCAAAACACCTTTGACCCAAGTGTGTTGAAACCTGCAGAAACACGTTACGAAATTAAGCTACCAATGTAAAAACGTACAAATTGCTTCTAAAAATGCTTCTCCTGGTTGGACTAGGTCAGTAACAGGGAAAACCCAAAGTTACTTCGAGGCGTGTCGGAAGGAAATCCCGAGGTCATAATCTACACCAATTCGGTAAAATCCAATACTCACAAATCGAACCCACGATAATTGGATCGACGGGGCGAAACTGCCCCTCCGTAAACCCAGAAACCATTTATTCAGAACTGTCAGCATACATACCTTAAAAACTTTGTCCAAGACTAGTTCCCACGAATACTCGTGAATGAAAAAGATGTACCAAACACTACAGTTAGGAATGATTGTGGCCATTTTGATCATCTATAAATACTACTCAAAAAAAGGTTTAATAAAACCAGATCCTTTCATATTGCTATAGTTAATCTGTCGTGACAGATACTACTCAAAAGAAGTTAAGGACATTAACTATAGTAATATGAAACAATCTGGTGTTCTTTAACTTGTTTTGAGTAGTATATACCTGTTTAAACTATATTTTTGTGAGTAGTATAGTGAAAACGTGCGTACGTTATGTAAGTATATATTTGTAGGTTTCACATAGAAACCAGTACTAACACAATCACTGCACGAATTAACCAGCATTACGTGTGCGATGCAAAGCGCCAATCGCTTGCAAGCGATGTACAACGATTCGCCTTACAACGAGGCACTAATTTTCAGCCGCTTGCAAATCGTACCAATCGCGTCATTCTCAAACCAAAATGGCGGCTGAGTGCGACAGCGGAACAAGAAATTCTTGACTGAATCAACTGGGAAATGAGAAAGGGCAGCTAACACGCCATCATCCTCAGTCTGCTCCACATCTTCAAAGTAGTCATAAATTTCATGAGTTCATCATCGAGGCTCTTCCATTACGTTCTCCATTAGAGCAAGGCAACCAAGCGGTAGTTGCGCCGCCATTTTGGAAGAGTGCGCAAAGGCTTCGAACTGTTGCAGACCCCGGGATGAACGATTAATGTGCTTAGTCGTAGCGATTCGTAGCTTGCAACGCGCCCTACATCTCTTGGGTACGTCATGTCCATTGTTACAACAGGTTTTCCTTCCTAACTACCCAGTGCTCGAGACGAGGTCGAACGATTCGATTTAGATGACAGCAATCTCATTAAATTTAGACCTCAGTTCTCGCTACCGCTAAACAAAGATCCGAGGACATCCGGTTAGGGGTCACGTAAGAACGACCTTTCATCCGACCAATCAGAGCATCGCTTTCCAGATTATGAGAAGACAGTCGGAATGTGATTTCTAATCATGCAACCTCAAATACTTTAACTCCGAACGATAGTTACTGGTTTAACGACTGAATCCATAAAATCTAGACTATCTATTGGCCATTCCTAAATGTTCTTTTGTTCAGGTTTCAAATTTGTAATCGAGAATTTATCAAAATATGTTTCGAAGCGTAGTCGCCAATTTGAAATTAGTGCCGCAAAGCACGAGAAAGTTGCCTTCTGATTGGTCATTCCATTGGCCGGTCAAAGTTCGCGCAAGATCAATCTGTCGTGACCCGTAATGGGATGTCCTCAGATCTCTGTTTAGCGGTAGCGAGAACTAAGATCTGGTTTTAATGAGATTGAGATGACAGGGTAGTAAACCTTGGTTCAGGGTTTTACACTAGAGTGTAAAGTGCACCATGTTCGGGGCTGTGTGGTGTGAGTAGGATGGCTCCCCTCTTCGGGTAAAACAGGTTGAACGCCCGAGACGCGAGCCGCAGCGAGCGTTGATGTCCATATCATCATGGTGTCGCTTACGTATCCTCAGCAGGTGTGACTGAGCGGATACACGCGTAATTCGAGGTGTCAAATGCGTTTGAAGACACCATCAGGTGTCACTATGCATGTATGGCAGGCGTCAGTATGGATGTGTCCAGCTAGGTACTGTTCATACAAGGCATTAGGTGTCACGGTGTGTACGTTTTCGCAACAAGGTGTCGCTACGTGTGTATACTAATAATAACAGATGCTATTGCGATGATTTTAGGTACTGTACGTAAAAAGATACTACTGTCTATAGGCGTCATCGTGGTATGTTACTGTAGAGTCACATATATCACCAACGCAGATAATATATATATTGATATTGATATTGATATATATTGATATATAAAGTTATATAGATATAGATATGCATGAGTTTGCTCTGGTCCCAAAAAAATAGTTTCCATCAAAACTGGGGTAAGAAGGTTGAGGTTTAGGAGGCCTTGTTTATTTTTTCCTTAAAAAAAACGGAAATTTGCAGTATGTCATCGGAAGCTGATTTAAATTAGATGACTTGTTTCCTTACCTGTCCACATCGTGTTATGTTAGTGGTTATGGACAATACCTGTATGGTGATAACAGTTTTAAAAAACTCTCAACCACGAGACAATAATGGTTAAAGTCAGGTCTCGAGATAAAAAGGCGATCGATAAACCGGGACCACATCTATTTCCTATTTTTGTTGAGGAGGCTTATATATATATATATATATATATATATAGACACGAAATTCCTTCTTGTATTACAAAGTACTATCATCATCAGCCTCCATGCACGATGAACATCGTCTCCGTGCAAATAAAAACAAACCCCTAATACATGTTGTCCACATCTGTCCCGAGTGAAGCGTGTTGTTGTTTGATCGTTGTTTGTTTGTTGGCAACAGTTATCTTATTTGTTTGTTATTTCCCGTGCACCTAAACTGTATGGTAACAAAAACACTATTAGTCTTACTTGATGGCCTCCCATTTCTCCTGCCCGAAGTTCCTCAGCACCAGCAGCTCCAGGGCGTGATTCACGAACCCGTACTACAACACAACAAATATCATCTTAAACATGCATCACCACATTGAGAGGATGGGGAGGAGACATGCCGACAATTGCTTACATGTCTACCTCCTGCGTTTGGTTATTCCATAACGGTGTCTGTTTTGGCCATTGCTGTCATGTTCTTAGTTCTACATATATCTTCCGCGGATCTATGTGCAAAGGTTTGGGCGCTTACACTATATGATTGTGGCATTTTGGGAAGATGATTGTCTGCGATTTGGAAAAGGTTTCTGGGTGGTATAGTGAGTGAGTGAGTTGGGTTTAACGCCGCTTTTAACAGTATTACAGTTATATCGCGGCGTGTCAGCTTAATGTGGGAGGAAAGCCCGAAGTGATGCAGGTCTCAGACGTTTACAACTTCGGTGAAACCCACGAGCACGGGTATGGTGCTGACAAACCTAGAAACATAATCGGGGCGAACCGGGATTCGAAACCACAATCATAGGTTTCTGGCGTGCCCAAGGGACGCAACTCTGCACAGCGAATCGCGGCACCTTAGACGACTGGGCCACCCGTGCCCCCTTCAGGGTGGTATAAGGAAATTGATGTGCTTTGAACAACATTTCAGTTATATCAGGGTGGTAGTGAATGAAAATGGGGCTTAACGTCGCGTCCAAGATTTTTGCACTTATGCAGCGACTGTTATAATAGGGCGTAAGTTTATCATTTCAGCAAAATCTTATAGAGTGCAGGAAGTGGACGTCACCGCTTTGGTAAAACCAATGAGCATGGTGTTCATTAACAAAGGATACCAATCGGGGATTCGAACCCATTGTCGTAGGATCCTGTCACGGCTTAGGGGCACACCTCTGAACAGCAAATTGCAGCAGATTGGAGCACCCTTGTCCCCAGTAGGGTTGGGTGAGTGAATGAGTGAGTATGGTTTTAAGCCGCTTATAGCAATATTCCAGCAATACCACGGTGGGGAACACCAGAAGTGGGCTTCACACATTGTACCCATGACCGGAATCGAACCCGGGTCTTCAGCGTGACGAGCAAACGCTTTAACCACTTGGCTACCCGACCGCCCCTAGTGGGGTTGGGACCTATTCCGCTCCTTTAGTAATAGCTACACGGCATCCCTTACTTGTCTCCCCTACCACAGTCCTCGCATAGGACAACCACCATTGCCTGTCTCCCCCTACTACATCGACCCGTCGTTTGTCAAACTGGCCAGTACTTAACTCGAGGGGGCACGGGTGGCCCAGTTGTCTAACACGCCACGATTCGCCATTACCAAAACAAAAATTTACAGTCATAATAAAGTGGGCGGCTACGAGGGAATGATTCCATCTATATACATGTCTCTAAAATCTATAGATTTCCTGACCAAGTCTAGGCTTGTTGTGAACATTAACGTTGCTTTAGATTTTTTAATGATAAATCAACTTGAAACGACACCGCTAAATAGCAATCGATGTTTATTTTTATTGATACCCGTATCCATTATAGACTTCTTCTATTTCATATATTTATTCTGCCGGTTTGCATGAACCATCCGCTTTATAACTGCCAACAGGTAAAAATAATTATGCATAGTAATGGGGTCAAAAGGTCGCATTCCCCATGCGTTCTGGGAACAACGTGTAAGGCAGTCATAAAAGCAAGATCCGTATCATTGAACAAACGAAATGGGAGTACCGATGCATACCTAACCGATAATATAGCATAAGGAAAAGTTATTGGATGATTAGAGCTTAACATTTCAAAATGACCGGTCGAAAAGATGATGCGTAGTCTAATGAGGTCTGGGGTATTCTATGCAGCCGTTTAATACTATAATGACCACAATTCCTATCGTGGCGAGTTCCATTATCGACACGCCTGTTATTGAAAAGTCGCTGAGTAAAGTTATCCGATTTCAGAGGACACTATTCACACAGAAACTAACAGCGGTTTCCATGTCTCCTCCGAAGAAATGGCGGACAATTGTTGAAGGAAAGTGGTCGCGATTGAACATTGTTTGTGCACTATATCAATCCTGGGTTTGTTTGTGTTCTTTCTAGCATACATAAGGTCGCACCGATTTACTGTTACGGCAAGGCATGTATCACGGATACGACATGTTAACCCGCAACTCGACACTTTCTATTGTAAAGAACCATTTTCAATCAAGTAAAGATCAGAACGACATATACTTAGTGAGCGCGCGTCAATTCATCTCGCCGCCGTCCACGCCAGATTTCTGATGCGGAGTGGAGCTATAAGAGCGAGCGAGTATGGTTTTACGCCGCTTTTAGCAATATTCCAGCAATATCACGGCTGGGGGACACCAGAAATGGGCTTCACACATTGTACCCATGTCGGGAATCGAACCCGGGTCTTCGGCGATACGAGCGAACGCTTTAACCACTAGGATACCCGACCGCCCCTGAAGCTATAAGAACTGAATCATTTAACCTAAAATGGCTAAAATTCTGTCCATACCACCGAAATGGTGAATGAGTTGCCTTTTACGCCGTTTTTAACCAAACATCATCCCTATCACGGCGGCGAGATGCCATCAAGGGGTGTAGCACATGAAAATATACTTTATTCGGAACAATGTTTTTTGTTTGTTGTTTAACGCCGCACTCAGCAATATTCCACCTATATGATGACGTCTGTATATAATCGAGTCTGGATCAGACAATCTAGTGATTGACATCATGAGCATCGATCCACGCAATTGAGGTACGATGACATGTATCAACCAAGTCAGCGAGCCTGACCACCCGATCCCGTTAGTCGCCTCTTACGACAAGGATAGTCGCCTTTAAGTGCAAACATGGGTTGCTGAAGACCTATCCTACCCCGGATCGTCAATGGTCTTGTGGGGATCGAACCTAGGACTTCGTCGTGCCAAGCTTACGCCTTACCTTGAAGCTATGCTCCTGCGCATTACACTACCCAAACACATGCCCAGAATGGTGATTGGGTTTTTTAAAGTTTATTTTCATATCATATAACGTGCCCTATCTTTTTAAAGTGTTGTATCGATATTGACGTTGCGCTGTTGCAACTATCATCTATAAGGAGATAAATATATTTCTAGTCTCAGATATGTAAACACATAACGTTTGTCGACATTATTAAATACAAAAGCTAGCAGTAATTGTTCGTAGCACTCTCATTAACGTGAAAACTCTGAAACATAATGTCACTCTGAAGTGAATTGACGTCACTATGGAATAATATGATGTCATCACCTCGGGCTTTCCTCCCCCATTAATCTGACACGCCGTGATATAACTGAAATAATGCTAAAAGCGGCGTTAAACCGAACTCACTCACTCCTATTTAACAACGTTTCTCAACCCACGAGATTGTAGCACTAACACCCATTCAAGTCACAATGGTGTTCAAAACGTAACTAAGAAGGAAGTAACACCTTGATGCCCGCACTGACCTGTAAGATTGACGTTGTAGTGTGTAAATAAAACTGAACGCAGCATGCAAATAACAACTACTAGCATGGTACAATACATCTGCGTCACGACTAACCAATTCTAAACGTCTATTGTGTTACATAAACTGTTGCCATGGTAGGGGATTTATTGAAAGTTCGGAAAAAGGAAAAAATAATATTGCACTGAACGTGGAAGACGTATGTAATATGAGTATGAGTATGTATATGTTAATAGCCGTATGTAAGGATTTTACAAGCTGAACTGTCTTGTCCACGAGATGGGAGGTCAAGGGGTGTATTGGAAAGTTCAGCTGGTAAAATCACAGACATCCAGTTATTGTTTGTTTGTTTGTTGTTTAACACCGCACTCAGTAATATTCCAGCTATATGACGGCGGTCTGTAAATAATCGAGTCTGGACCAGACAATCCAGTGATTGATATCATAAGCATCGATCCACGCAATTGAGTGAGTGAGTGAGTGAGTGAGTTTGGTTTAACGCCGCTTTTGACAGTATTCCAGTTATATCGCGGCGTGTTAGCTTAATGTGGGAGGAAAGCCCGAAGTGATGCAGGTCTCAGACGTTTACCACTTCGGTGAAACCCACGAGCACGGGTATGGTGCTGACAAACCTAGAAACATAATCGGGACGAACCGGGATTCGAACCCACAATCATAGGTTTCTGGCGTGCCCAAGGGACGCAACTCTGCACAGCGAATCGCGGCGCCTTAGACGACTGGGCCACCCCCTCCCCCCCGCACGCAATTGAGGTACGATGACATGCATCAACCAAGTCAGCGAGCCTGACCACCCGATCCCGTTAGTCGCCTCTTACGACAAGCATAGTCGCCTTTTACGGCAAGAATTGGTTGCTGAGGACCTATTCTACCGCGGATATTCACGGATTTAATACTGTTCTTAGTGTAACAGAAATTCCTTGTTTTGGATTGGTCCAGTACTGGTCGAATGAAATGGGGATTTCTCTGGGCTAGCGGTGTCTAATACTTGTCCCCAATAAGGGGAATACCCTGGTCAACATATTTCGAGTACTGGACATGTACAATTAAGCATGATATTGTTTGTTGTTTAACGTCACACTCATCAGTAGTCCAGCTCTATGACGGCCGTCTGTAAATAATCCAATCTGGTCCAGACAATCAAACGACAATCGAGTGATTGATGTTGTGAATAATGATCCACACCGTCGGAGTACGATGACACGCCATCAACCAAGCCCAATCACCCGATCCTTTGAGTCGCGTCTCACGACGAGCATCAGTTACTGGGGCCAACTCTAACCCGGAATCACCACGGTGGACTAAGCATAGGAAGAATTTCCATGGCTTTACTCTAGAGTGGTCAAACACAAGTCAAAGTATAAGGGGAAATCCCTGGTCGAGATTGATCAAACACCAGTCCAGGAATTAAGGTGGAATTCTTGGTCGAGATTGATCAAACATTAGTCAATGTATAAGGGGGCGTCCCTGTCTAGAGTGGTCAAACGGTAGTGCAAGTATATTGGGGAATCTGGTCGATACTGATCAAAACTAGTCCAAGTATAAGGGGAATACCTGGTCGAGATTGATTAAACACCAGTCCAAATATACGGGGGAATCCCTAGTCTAGATTGATCAAACACCAGTCCAAATATACGGGGGGATCGCTGGTCGAGATTGATTAAACATAAGTCCAAATATACGGGGGAATCCCTAGTCGAGATTGATTAAACGTATGTCCAAATATAAGGTGGGATCCCTGATCGAGATTGATTAAACATAAGTCAAAATATACGGGGGAATCCCTGGTCGAGGTTGATCAAACACAAGTCCAAGTATAAGGGGGAATCCCTGGTCCAGGTTGATCAAACACTTGTCTACATATTAGGGGGGTCCTCTTGTCTAGAGTTGTCTCACACTAGTCAATGTATAAGGGGGAATCCCTGATCGAGATTGATTAAACATAAGATCAAATATACGGGGGAATCCCTGGTCGAGATTGATCAAACACAAGTCCAAATGTACGGGGGAATCCCTGGTCGAGATTGATCAAACACAAGTTCAAATATAAGGGGGTATCACTGTTTGAGATTGATCAAACAATTATCTACATATTAGGGTGCTTCCTTTGTCTAGAGTGGTCAAACACTAGTCCAAGTAAATGGGGAATTCTGGTCGACATTGATCAAACACAAGTCCAAGTATAAGGGGGAATCCCTGGTCGAGATTGATCAAACACTAGTCCAAGTATATTGAGAATTGGACCAGTACTGTGAGCAGGATAATCGGTTTTCACTGATCGAGAATGATCTAATACTGGTCACTGTATACGGGGAATTCCACGGTATGGATTGTTCGAGTGCAGGTCCAAGTATAAGGGGAATTCCCTGGTCTCGGGGAATCTCATAATCCTAGTCTCCAAAAGTACGAACAAATACCAGGACGAAACTTACTCTAAAATGACCCAATACATTGACTCAGTGTATGGCGAATTGCCTACAGAGCTCTACTGAAGATCACAGCTCCAGTAAGAGTACCTGTATGTGGCATTAACACTCGCCCGTGTACAGGGCGAAAGGGGGGAACCCTCTCTAGTACGTGTTCCAGTAAGAGCAGTGCCCAGTTGTCGTCCTAACACTGGCCTCAGCGTAAAGAGATCTACTTGTGTGGCTATTGTCTACATATCGGCCCACACCGCCCCGCTGGGAGGGCGAGTTCTTGATCGACACTCGCCACAACAGGGGCCGCGACCCTACACTGTTACTCAGCATATCGATCTATCAAATAAAACTCCGCGCCTGGCGAGATCAGTTGCCGATCAGATCGTAAACTCTAAACAAAATCCTCGCAGAATCAATGAATTCCTTGGGACTGGCACAGGCTGCTCATAAGCTGGGCAGGGTGAAGGGGCTGCAGGGAGAGGGGGTGAGAGATATATGGGTATATGGGGGGGGGGGGGGGGGGTCCATGAAGGAGAGTCTTCTGTCACCTGACTTCGCACCTGCATATCAATAGGATTTTCTTCTTCGTGCATCAGTCTCGTTTTGCACGTGATGGGACAGATATTAAATCTTCATGAACCTCATTGTATACCAGATCGATCGAGTTGGGCGCTTAATGAGGCTTTTTAAACAAATAAATACATGTATTGCATATTTGCAATATGCGAAATTTTAATTCAATCAGAATATAATAATGAAGAATATTGTTAACAAATCTTAACGACTTAAAAGAAAGAGTTAATACACTGGCATGTTTAAAAGAAACATATCGGTTCCTCAAATATTGTAAATAACAGACATCAAGCAGCAAGGTGAGAAAACAGTGATTAACATATACACGATCTTTCCGCATATAAAAAATACCGATATCGTGACAAAAAGAGGTTAGCCGAAGAGCGAGGGCAAAACATGCATGAGAATAAAATGGCACCCAGGAAATGTACTCACCATTTTTGCTTATTGTGGGGATTACACAAATACGCTCCGTCGGTGTATCAGATAGTCTCGAACGCTAGTGGAGTGGTCCGTTAGGCTCGCTATGTTAGTTGAGACATGGCAAGGCTTGGTCGACCATAACACTTCCCTCTGACAACACCGTAAATACACAAGCCACCTTCACCCCTTCGACACAATGGCGTTGCGATAGACGCGAGTGGTTAATGTCAGTGCGGCACACACACTCAAAGTAAACCATTGAAAACGCAACCTAGTTCATATCAGTGCATTTGTAAACATTCCCTACCACCCGGCACATGTGTTTAGATCGGAGTGATTAGAAAATCTGGATCGGCAACGCCAGCGCGTTTCACCAATAACGAAACGAAACGATCCGCGCGGTAGCCGTGTTACTCGCTGAAGAGAAACGTAGCCTATTTATAACATCACAGTTGCAGGCAGTTGTGGTATTGATAAAATTAGATCCGTTTTCCGTTTATAGGTGAGCACTATTTTGGAAATCTGTTTTATTTGTAATTAATCGAAAACTCAGGCGTTTATGTGTCTCGTTTTAGTTACGAGCACGTGCTGGCAATTAAAGATTTTAATGTGTTTCCAGGCCTAACTGTACATTTCCATTCTAAATGCTTATTTTATCGTGAAGTAGCTGTTATTTTCAGTCATAAATAAATTAAAACAATCCAAGAAGCATGGAACATGCATTTAAATTTGTCCTTATGCTATTTTAACTTTTAACTTTTATAAAATAAACAAAATAATTTAAAAGTATCCCTGCAGCCAACAATCTTCTGGGCTCTCTCCCAAGAAGTGAGATACGGTGAAATGGGGTTTAACGTCGTGATGCACTTATATAGCGACGTGCATGTACGTGTGTGTGTTTGTGTGGCTGCTTGTGCTAATCCGGACTGATGCCGATTTATAGTGCTCGCTAACTGAGATACCATGGCCGAGCGCCAGACAGGGTAACAACAAGTACCATCATTTAACGTCTTTTGGTATGACGCGGCCGTGGATCGAAACCCGGCCCTTCCGCTCTTCGGGCGGACGCTCTACCACTAGACCACGGAGGCGGTCTGTCTCCCAAGAGATAGTAATACTAAGGGACTTGCTATTTGATATCCAGGATTTTTTTTAAGGAGACAGGGTTTTTTATTCAGCTACAGCTGTATTGCCGGACATTTATGTTTTTCAATAAACTCACTGCCAGATCTCTCCTCCTCTGTCAGTGTTTAGTTTTAAAACCTCATTATAAATAACTGTAATTTACAAATAAACTAATGAGCTAAAGAAAGTATACACTTGAAAATTGGATTTGACCAAAACAATTTTGGCCACCATCAAACATGCAAATAGATTTATGTAACAATTTGCCCGGCACCAGTTTCGTGTGTGTCTGTGATGTGTGTCTGTGTCGTGTGTCTGTGATGTGTGTCTGTGATGTGTGTCTGTGTCTGTGATGTGTGTCTGTGATGTGTGTCTGTGTCTGTGATGTGTGATGTGTGTCTGTGATGTGTGTCTGTGTCTGTGATGTGTGTCTGTATGTTGTCTGTCTTTCGCCGAAGACAGCAGTTTATATCGAGAGTAAATCAGGTCAGTCAGCGTGCCTTTCCACCCGTCCCTGTTCAGACACAGATAAGAATTATTCCTGGCCAAATTACCACATCGGAAAAGAGCCTGTAAATGTGATATAAGCTGTTACTATTGATTTGAAATTGTTTTGTATCGGAATTGGCGGTAGACTGCTATTAGAAACGTTAGCGGTTACTACTACTACTACTACTATTACTACTACCAATAGGTCTATTTATATTGCGCTATACCCGCATGCATGCTCAAAGCGCTACACCATTTTATTGGGAGTATACAACCCAAACTGCCTGGGAGACGCTAGGTTAACCTCATTGCCATCTCATCCTACCGGGTACCCATTAACTGCTGGGTGAAACAGAGGCACATTTCATACAAAGTCACTTGCCCAAGGTGAGGTGAGGGGAAATGGGGTTTAACGTCGCGTCCAAGATTATTGCACTTATATAGCAACGTGCATGTACGTGTGTGTGTTTGTGTGGCTGCTTGTACTAGTCCGGACTGATGCCGATTTATAGTGCTAGCTCACTGAGATACCATGCCGCAGTTTAACATGAATACCCCAGTCAGACACGTCTTGGTATGACGCGGCCGGGGATCTAACACCGGACCTTCCGCTCTCCGGGCGGACGCTCTACCACTAGACCACGGAGGCGGTCCGCTTGCCCAAGGAGACGCCACATGTGCTGTATGTGCTTCAGTGTCGAAACCCCAGAGACTGCCAGAAGCCAAGCTGTCGAACACGGTCACCCATCCAAGGACTCTCCGCGACCAACGTTGCTTAACTTCACCTGACTGGTGACCTGTGCGCTGTGCACAGGACCACGTGCCGCCAACTTGAAAATGTTCATTTATAACACAAACACCGCCATAAGTAATCTTGCTGCAACATTACAGGAATACTGACGCATATATTTTGCAACATGGCCGAGGGTATGGGTGATCACATTCAGGGGGATATTTTCAGCGAGGTATCATTTGAGTTTGACGTATTATGGGATGTCTGTTATGTTGCCAGTGTAATTGCGACATTAGATGAATGAAGTAAATTTGCTTATTGGTTTTAGTCACTGATACATAACTAGTTACCACATCTCTACAAGGCAACAATGTGTGCAGTCAGTGGAACTATGGTAATAATTCTACCTGTTTTGATCAATTTTGTTCAAAGGATTGGATGTGGTGGAGAAATGGGGTTTAACATCGCGTTTAAGATGTTAGCACATATATAAATTGGAGTGCATGCAGGTGTGTGGCTGATGGTACTAGCTTTAGTCCGGAGTAATGCCTGTTGCACGGGAGATGCTTACATTTTTGGCGAACACCTGGTGTCATCACTGACTTTCAGTGAGACACTCATATAATTTTCACCGCTATTTTGCGGGGGGCACGGGTGGCCCAGTCGTCTAAGGCGCCGCGATTTGCTGTGCAGAGTTGCGTCCCTTGGGCACGCAAGAAACCTATGATTGTGGGTTCGAATCCGGTTCGCCCCGATTATGTTTCTAGGTTTGTCAGCACCATACCCGTGCTCGTGGGTTTCACCGAAGTGGTAAACGTCTAAGACCTGCATCACTTCGGGCTTTCCTCCCACATTAAACTGAAACGCTGCGATATAACTGGAATACTGTTAAAAGCGGCGTTAAACCCAACTCACTCACTCACTCACTCACTCACCGCTTTTTTGCAATTTACACCCTGTGAAGTCTTCGTCAGATAATGGAGTCTGGTTATTCTCTGGCGTTGACGTTTTCAGATTATAAAGCTACACCACTGAGATACTGTAGCACAGTTTAACATAGATACCCCACACAGACACAGTATACTGTTTGTTTTTTGTTGTTTAACGCCGCACTCAGCAATATTCCAGCTATATGACGGCGGTCTGTAAATAATCTAGTCTAGACCAGACAATCCAGTGATTTACATCATGAGCATCGATACACGCAATTGGGATCGATGACATGCATCAACCAAGTCAGCGAGCCTGACAACCCGATCCGGTTAGCCGCCTTTTACGACAACCATGGGTTGCTGAAGACCTATTCTACCCCGGATCTTCACGGGTCCACAGTATACTGAATTCGAGCCGACCAGTCCTTGTTTTAACCCCTTAACGCCGAGTGTCAGGCAGGATAACATCTTTTAACGTCACCAGGCACTATCCAGGCAGACACACTGTATTCACTGGACCACGGGTTCAATCCAGTTGATTGGATGGCCTTATTTTTAATGTTTATGTTGACGAAGAAATAGATTATTCGAGTACAGTAAACTACGGTTATAACGAACACGCTTATAAGGAACTGACGGATATAACGAACTAACTTTTTGGTCCCGACTACTTGCTGTAATCATGCTGTATATGTGCTTATAACGAACTACGGTTATAACGAACTAAAATTAGTAGTCCCTTTGAGTTCGTTATAACCGTAGTTTACTGTATTTACATATAGTAAAAACACATTAATCCAGTCCCTGTTAATCCGGATTACCTGCATTCAAGACATGAACTCTTTTGAAAGTTTAACATATATTATGATATATGTAAAGGGATGCATTATTACATATCCCTGATTTCGTTAATCCTGGCATAGGTTTCTGGCGTGGCCAAGGGACGCAACTCTGCACAGCAAATCGCGGCGCCTCACCGACTGGGCCAACCGTGACCGATATTAATATTGGTATAATACCATTGACCAATCCTTGCCCTTGAAATGTCCCACAAGAAAACACTCGAATATGAATATTATAACGTCAAGTGTGCGGATATAAGGGTTATCACTAACGAGCTTCTTCTAATCTCCTCTGAGTGACAGTGTATATCATGTGAATTTAAAAAGGAATTCAAAAAACCATAAATAGATCTTCTCGGGTTCTTCAAGTTCGTTACCTGGAACAGATAGTACCCAAACCTGTTATTGCCAGCTATATATTTAGACGCACTTATTTACAAAAGGAATAAAAATGTCTTGTTGCCGCCAAGCATATGTTTACCGCTAACGAGCGCATTGCACCAAGGGAGACAACTCTCCAACCGCAGACAAAGAGCAGTAACTTTGTCTGTGGTTGTTCCAAGTGCGTAAGCTCCTCTCAGAAAACAGAGGTTCGATCCACTAATCATACAATGCGGTAAGCCATTTGTTGTGTTCTTTTGGCGATATTGCATTTAATTTAATAATTCTAAAACGTGAGTACAGTTCGACATTCAGTGAGTAGGCCTTTAGAAGGACACGGGGTTAAATATTTTTAGGCCATGGCTTTCGCGGCACAGCTGTATCAGGAAATCTTGCAATTCTAACACATCTAAATGTCATTATCCCAACAACCTGCAAAAAAACATCTACCGTTCCGAGTGGGAATTGAGCGCAGAAGTATTTTTTATTCGTGTTTAAGCGTTCATTTATGTTAGCTTAGTTTAAGTGACTCCATCGTTGGATAAACGTACCGCCTACTTTCCTGGTGTTAACATGTGACTCATTCGTTGTTCCTGATGTAAATGTGTGGACTATTTGTTTAAGTATCTGCAAAGACACTGTGTACCATCGGTATCATTAGTCAGGCTCAAATATTTATTTGGGAACGCCAGAAACCTATGATTGTTGGTTCGAATCCCTGTTCGCCCCGATTATGTTTCTAGGTTTGTCAGCACCATACCCGTGCTCGTGGGTTTCACCGAAGTGATAAACGTCTGAGACCTGCATCACTTCAGGGTTTCCTCCAACATTAAGCTGACACGCCGCTAGTCTGTCTTACAGACCCTGATACATTTATAACA